AAAAAACTCAAAAAGTTAGGTTTGACCTGAGTTGTTGACCAAAGAAAACGATATAAGCAGAAATGCAAAATTCTTTTTGCATAATTTTTACGGTTAGAAGATTTAGCAAGGCAGTCCTGCGAATTCCAAGTTTATCACATCTGCACATTTGAAACATTTCAAAATCTGTAGAATCTTTTATTCAGATTGCCAATTCGCTGGATTCTCTCTGCGAAGCCATGACAAATTCTCTTTTGTACGCTCAGGTTGGTTTTGCAGCTGTGAGGAGTGCGTTGCAATCAGCGCTGGAAAAACTGAAGAGCGAGGGTTTGATAGCTGAGGATAGTGAGGTAGCAAGAATGACCTTATTTTTTTTCAAATTACAATTTTTTTTCTATGACAGGGCACGTTGGCTTCTTCGCAATTGGGAACTGCCACTTTTGTCGCGAACCTTTCACCTCTTGAAGCACAACGACTGGCCACTGATTTGTCAGCTAGTCTCAATGGTGGTCTGGTGTTTTCTTCTCATTTCCATCTTCTCTTCACCATCGCCCCATATGATGCTGTTTGTCCTGTCGATTGGGATCTTTTCCACACATTGGTAAGTCGCTCGGGAATCGTAGGGTGTACACTAGACGTGACATCCAGGTATACTAATTTCAGTATCTAGCACTTTCGGACAGCGAAAAAAAATTGTTATCATCCTATGGTATACCCGAACGAGTGATACTGCAACATATTGTGAAGAAAAAGCGCCTAGTCTGTTTTTTGTATTGCAGTTTCGACCCCGAATATTTATGAATTTCTAGGAAGCTGGAGACGCTGCGATGCGTCTTTATATAGGTCTGCTCCTGCAAGAAATTTGGAAACAACAGCCTCATGCTGCTGTTGCTGAGAGGTGATATTCTTGTTATATTTTTGACAATTAGTTTATGGCGCTTAGAGACAGTGTCCTCTCAAAATTCATTTTCTAGTTCTTCACCCTTTCGGAGCGCAGCGCCTGAAAATTGCAAAAATGAGCTTTTTCCGAAGCCTTTCATGCGCTCGATAATAATGTATATGGGCGGAGTCTGGAACGAGGGGGCGGGATCCGGAATACTTCCGGGGTAGATTTCAGACTTTTCAGATGCGCTTTCTTGCTCTAAACTTCACTGATAGGTTAACTGGGGAGTTCGCCACTGCAAGGTCGCAAAATCGCGATATCCACTGATCTAAGGGGATACTGTCTTCAAGAAGTGGTTCCATGACTGATTTTTTGATTATATATGGCTGAGCGCAACATCTAGGTAGGACTTCGAAAAAAAA